GAGGTGTGAATTCAAAAATTATTAAATATTTTTGATTTTCTTATAAAAATAAACGTTTTTAGTATTAAATTAATTATTACAGAAGTTTCAAAGACTTGTTACTTTTTATTGATATTAAAATATGATATAATATGCAAAACTTTTCAATTATATTTATATACTTTCACAATTACATTCTTCATATTACGATCAACAGATAAACTAAAGACAAAAAATAATATTAATTTTTAAATATAAATATCAAAAAGACATGAAAATTAAAACATAAAAAATGACTACAAGTAATATCTTTCAGAGTTATTAAAATTTATAAAAACTAAATTTTAAATATCACTGTCAACTTCAAAATATATATTTTTTCTTTTAAATAAAATGTTCTTTATTATTTGTATGGTTGATTAATTCATATTATTATCTATATTATAATTCATAATAAATTAATATAATGAAACTCCATATTTTAGAAAATAAATATAATTTTTAAATTTAATATAAATCAAATAAAATTAATTCATAACCGCGCATCACACAAATTTAGAATGTTAAGAATTGTTAAATTTTTTTACAGAAATGCCACAATTTGAAATAAAAAATACCATATTGCTACATATTGAAATTTTTTTTCAAAAATGTCACATATTCACTATGGGCTCGTCCGTTGGAAGGACGACCCAATAAAGCCCAAAAAAAGTAGTTGGGGTTCGGCCATCCATTGGCCGACCCTATACTACGTGTTTTTTTTTTGTTTTTTTTTAATTTCAGAAATAAATATATATTATATATTATTATTTTATGTTTTAAATTATTTTTTATATATTAAAATTATTTAAATAATATTTTATATTAATAAATAAATAATTTAATTATTTTAAATAATTTATTAATATTATTAAATATTTTTACATTATCGAATTATATAATTTAATCATTTTTAAAATTAAATATTTTTTACATTGCGCAAGGAAATGTTTAATAATATTAAAAATATTTAATATTAAAATAATTTAATATTTAAAATAATTAAATTATATAATTAGATAATGTGAAAAATATTTAATAATATTAAAAAAATTATTTAAAATAATTAAATTATTTATTAATATAAAATATAATTTAAATGATTTTAATATATAAAAAATAATTTAAAACATAAAATAATAATATATAATATTTATTTATTTCTGAAATAAATTTAAAAAAAAACACTTAGTATAGAGTTAGACAAATGGTCGAATCCCAACTACTTTTTTTGGACTTCATTGGATCGTCCTTTCAATAGACAAACCCATAATAAATATGTGACATTTTTAAAAGAAATTTTCAATACGTGACAATATAATATTTTTTTCAAATTATGGCATTTCTGTAAAAAATTCGAATTGTTAGACCTAAAAATATCATTCTGAAAATGTCAAGTAGAATCTCACTTGCAACTTGCAACACCATATTGATTTGTCACATGTTGTTGCGAAATGGACAACTTGCAACTTGCAACTTGCAACACAATATTAATGCAATGTGAGATATTTTTGAGATGTCAAATCAACATTAGAAATGAAATAATTATAGTATCTTTCATATATATATATATATATATATATATATATATATATATATATATATATATATATATATATATATATATATATATATATATATATATATATATATATATATATATATATATATATATATATATATATATATATATATATATATATATATATATATATATATATATATATATATATATATATATATAAAATAGAAAAATATGATAATAAATTTACAAATAATATATTTTAAAATAAAACTTTCACTTCATCCAATCAAAAACTAAAATTAAATGTCAAAGCGCTTCATATTTTATTTTACTTTTTTAACAAATAAAATATATTTCTTCCGTTTATAAATATAACTGAGGAGAAAATAATTAAGAGCATGTTTCGAATTCCAACAATAATAATTTATGTTTATTTTATTTAAAAATGGTGTATTTCTTCGGTTTTTAATTAATGATATATTCTTTCGGGTTATATTTAATAACCGAGGGATTAGATTATTAGATTTTACTATAAAAACATTCGTTAATCAGATTTTAGCCTAAATATAACTTATATGTAGCCGCTACAAACTTATACACATCATTCTTTATGACCAAAAAAATCTTCAATGTTCTTTCTAAATTGTCAATCAAATAAAACATTGAGAAATGTACTTTTATACAAAATCATTTTGATCTCGACTATAAAACTATCCCTCTTTGATGCGATCAGATTTTACCCTTGGGCCAAAAACATATGTCCACCCAGCAGAAAGACCATATTGACTTAGAGGCGGGTGTCTTAAGAGACTTTAGGAAAAAAATTCCTCGATATTAGGATGTGCTTGATCCTTGACAAGATGTATATTCTTTGGTACATTTTATAAGTTGGAAGAGGCCCTTTCTTTGGGAAGATGGGCATGAGTTTTGTATACAAAAATCTCAACATACCTAATGATTTGCACATGCTAAGGAATATGGGTGTGAAGTGAACTTTCAAAATGATGGGTACCAATAATTTGAGATGCGCTCTTTTGGAGAGAGCTATGTTGATGAATATGACCTGATGTAGAATAATTCAAGGAAGCTGAAAACGAATCTGGAAAGATGGAGGAGAGTTTTAAACAAAACAAAACTTTGTTGGGTTCGGCCAATGGAAGATTCTCTTCCTTTGAAAAGGAGCATAAAGACACACAATGCTCTATGAAGACGTTGGATGCGGAGAAAAAGGAAAAAAATGAAATTGACCAAAACAAGGAAATAAGCTCACGCAGGCGAGAGACAAGATCATTACTATGAAACAAGTATTTTTTTACCATAGTTGAAACAGGATTTTTACCTCGGTTTGGTGGGCGAGGTAACGAATGGTGTAATGGATTGTTCCAACTTTTCCCTTCGGTTGGTTTTTCTATCAAGGTGAAATCAACAACTTTCCCTTAAACTAGTTTTTAACCGAAGTAAAATCAACATCACAAAACCATTCTCCAGGATGGATTGCAAGAGCAAAGAAATGTTTTGGTAAAGCTTGGTTCCTCTTCTTCTGTAATATTAATTGTTAAAATTAATTTTTCGATACATGATTTTAAAAAAGGCTTAATGTTGTTAGGAAATCATGAATGTAATTGTTGATCTTCACTTTTAATATTTCTAACAACACCAACAAAGATGAAGACAAAGACGACATCGACAACGACGTCGACAACAACAACGATAACAACGACGACGACAACAACAATAGCGATAATAACGACAACAACATCGACAAAGACGACGACAACAACAACAACAACGTAACCACAAACATTGCTAAGTTACACCAAAGCTTTCCTAACTAACATCAAACAATTTTTACAAAAACCCATTAAAGAAAATCATTTAGAAATTAGAATAAAAGATACATTAAGAAATCAACCTTGAGACTTTTCTCGGCTATGCATTCCATCCTAGAGAATGACTTCGACCTCATGCAATGTGTTCATTATAAGTTTGTTTTGATTATCATTGTTTGCATTGGTATTTACATTCTAATATATTGGTTAGTGTGGGTTCCACATGGATCAATAATGTTTCATGTGGATTCATAAGTTGATAATATCTTAACCGATGTTACTTTATAAATGGACGGTAAAGATATGTTGGTTAAATAAACAAATTCATATTTTCGCCCTCGATTTCTAGATGGTAAAGATATGTTGGTTAAATAAACAAATTCATATTTTCGCCCTCGATTTCTAGATGAACCGAGAGAATAGGTCATAAATAAAATTAAAAAATTAAAATTCTCTAAAATGACATTGTTGAGACTCAAAAAGTGATTGATCAAAATTTTTCATCTCGGTTTCCAAATGAACCGAAAAAATATGTCATAAATAAATAAATTTTACAAAATTGCACTTAAATACAATTTCTGAGATTTGAATAGGAATGATCATAGCCATTCCTCCGACTGCCAGCATAACTGAAGAAATATATAGTATTTTTTTAAAAAAAGTTTAAATGTGGCACCCATATGGTTAACATCACGAGTGCTTGTTTGTTGAGATAAAAATTTTATCTTAAAATATATTATTTGTAGAACTTGATACATACTTTAAAAATAACAGTCAAAACCGACGCTATTACCAAAGGCTCATTACATGACAAATTGGATGAGTCTTGTGTGGAGAGTGTTCTGACCTTTGAAAGAGAGAAAGCAAAAGAACAAATGAACTTCCTGTACTTGACATGGATCAAAGCTACCTTGATATATATTATACGTTTCACCTATAAATCTTCGTCTTCTACGCCGAATTTATTGACATATTCTAAATTTAGTCTATGAATCTTCACCTTCTAAATCTTATATGACAAATTTAAAGATCAAATTACCATCTTAATATATTTAATTAATATTAATAATATAAAATAGTCAAATTTATTATCTGACATACCATAGCACCCTCCGTTAAAAAAATTAATTGGAAGGACCATTAAAAAAACTCCAAAAAAAATTAAAATAAAATATATTTAGAAATTAAAAATGAAATTTAATATATTTAAGGTGATGATAAACATATTTAAAACTAAAATATAACAGTACAAAGAGAGTCCATTTTGATCCGTATGGATGACATAGACTATATTTATTTTGAAAGCTTGTAATTTACTTCCTTTTAAAATAATTAATTAAATTTACCAATATTGAAAGATTAACAGATAAATAAATAAAAAAATAGTTTTTACACTAGAATAGTGTTATCTTGAAACATGTATACTTAAAAATTAAAATATGTAGGATATTATGAAATAGTGGGAGACATATACTTAGGTAAATGTCCTTAAAATTTGGCTATCCTGCCTAAACATCATCCTTAACTTCATCCTCTATAAATAAACGACAATAAGGGAAACCTAAAGCCACATTTATTCACAAGCATATAGTGTTCTGAGAGAATTAACATTTGAAAAATCAACTAAAATGGATTCCAGACCTAATCATTCCCAAAAACCACATGCTGTATTCGTACCATTTCCAGCACAGGGTCATGTGAATCCTTCTATGCAGTTAGCCAAACTCTTCCGTTGCAATGGTTTCCACATAACCTTTGTCAACACTGAGTTCAACCACAAACGTTTGATTAAATCTCTTGGACAAGACTTTGTGAAAGGTCTCCCGGATTTTCGATTCGAGACCATACCCGATGGTTTACCGGAATCAGATAAGGATGCAACACAGGATATTCCAACTCTGTGTGACTCAACTAGGAAAAACTGTTATGGTCCATTCAAAGAGCTTGTGATGAAGCTCAACACTTCATCGCCATATCCAGTTACTTGCATAGTTGCTGATGGAACTTTTGGGTTTGCTGGAAGAGTGGCTAGAGATTTAGGGATTCCAGAGTTACAGTTATGGACAGCTTCTGCTTGTGGCTTTGTGGGATATTTGCAATTTGAGGAACTTGTCAAAAGAGGAATTCTTCCATTCAAAGGTAAATTAAAGTAATATCTCTTTTTCTATGTTGCATCTTTTTATAGTTTGTGGTTTTGATGTTAAACCTGAAATTAAAGTATTGGGAAAATCTTCAAAATTTAACTTATAATTTAAGACGAGCGAGTAACAAACATATGTGATACTTCATAAAATTTATTTTAAAATAACTATTATTATCACTTTTTAAATAATAATTATCATTTTTCAAATTGTATTCTTATTTATTATCCTGACCACTACTTAAGATTAATTAAAATCGATTACCCTTAACCATTAAAACGAGGGGATGGACAAATTAGGATATTATCATTTTATAATTTAATGATGGTGTATTCTAAAAATACACAAGATACCCTATAAAATTTTGAATATTATTTAATATATTATTTAAAATATAATAATGATCAAAATTAATTTTAAATAATATTAAAAATATTATCTCGTAATAATAATAAAAATTTAATAATAAAAAAAATTATTCTATTTTAAAAATTTGATTTTTTTATAATAAATTTAAAAAATAGCTATTTTTATAGAATTGTTCTAATAGATATTAAATAAATTAAATTGACTCGGCTTAACCGATAAATAAAATTAATAAAAAGCAAAATTTTATTGTTTAAAATTGAGTAATAAAAATAAAATTATAATTTACGTCAAATTTAAATTTTAAATCGAAAAGCAAACCTATTTTCTCTCCCTAATAAAAATAAATATTTGAAAATCAAATTTCAACCGTTAAATAAATTATTAGAGGACATCAATGCTAAAATTGGATTCGACTATCTCTGTCACACTTATCTTCTAATCTGACCTACACAGTGTGACACTGTAGAATACAAAATCTAAATATTATAAAAACACAAATTTCAGACAAACCACGTGAAAGCGAAATAGAAAATTGATACACCAATCACTACTCCCTACTAGTGACCTAATTAATGAATTGGACTGAAGCAGACACTTGTTAGAGAAGTACACGTTTGAACTTTGCGACTAGAAGATACCAATAAAACAAAAATATAATGTGTGGACGAGATGGGACAATAGTCACTAAATACTGTAATACTGCTAAACAAATAGTTCATTTCTGAAAATAGCATTACCATTAAGAATGTTCTAATTAAATATTCTGATAACAATTTCTATTCAGAAAATATGTTTGTATTTATTTCATATTGAATTTTATAACTAAAAGAAAGGTGGATATATGTAGGGGTGTACGCGGGTTGGGTTGAACCGGGTTCGCCTTAACTCGTTACCCAACCTGTTCAACTTTTAATGGGTTGAGTTTATCATCAAACCCGTAATTCTACTTTAAAAACCGACCCGAATCAACCCGGATATTTACGGATCGGGTAGGGTTGGGTCCACGGGTTGTGTATATAATAATTATTATTTTTAATTTAAAAAATCTATAACACAATTCAATATAATTTTGCATATTTCAAACAATTAAATTATTTACGTAGTGGAGACAAATCCTACATATAAAATAGAATAATTAAAAATATAACAATTAAAATTTTGAAATGTATTTTCTTTGTCATAAAAAATATTAAGATACATATACACCATTAATTATTTATATATTTTCATTAATATACCTTAATTTATAAAAATTTATTAGTTATTTTGATACTCAAATGTTATCCATTACAAATATATATCAACATATGTAAAACAAATATATAATAATATACAGTATATATTAGTTGTTTTGATACTCAAATGTTACCTTTTCTAGCACATGCTTAAAAGTAGGTCCGTAAACAATCATATATATTAACACTTAATAATATATAAAATTCCATAAAATATCATTTCCATAAAATTCATAAATTCTAAATAATTCAAAAGCAAATAAACATCACTTAGTCTTAAAATGACATAGATGTATTGGTCCAATATTGGTCTAATAGCACCAAAATCTAACAGCAACTATAAAAGATTCCAGCACCAGCAGTGAAAGGTTTAGCAACAACAGAAAATCCAGCAACAGTAGCTGTAAAAGATTCCAGCAACAACAATGAAACGTTTAGCAACAACATAAAATCCAGCAACAACAGTTAAAAGTTTAAGCAACAATAATCAAAAGAAGAAGAAGAAAAACAACACTAGAAAATACCTTAAAATCTAGTAGTAACAGTTGTATTGAGCTCAACCGCAGTAATGCCAACATCAATAGAAACTAATCCAGCTAACTCTATATATGTAAACACAAACAACTAATAAGAATAATGTAATGTAATACTAAAATAAAATAGATTTTAAAATTCAAACATATAATTCATACCTGACTCAACCTTTTCCAATTCAACCAACTCTTTTTCTAAATCAATGACCTTAGGAGATTTGATCCAATTTTGAGTACAAATCAAAGCTTTAACGGTAGAGGGATTCAAGGAACTACGAAATGAATCAAGGACACGACCTCCTGTACTAAAAGCGGATTCAGAAGATACAGTGGATATAGGGATAGCCAATATATCTCTAGCTATGCGGGAAAGCACATGATATTTATTTGTTTTTCCTTTCCACCAAGTGAGAATATTAAATGTAGGAGAATCATCTTCAACACCATCCTCCAAATACCTTTCCAACTCATTTTTTTGCACTTCACATTGTTTTTTCTTCATATTCATTCTAAACAAATTGTCCCAATCTTCATCATCTTCACCATTTTCAATTCTAGAATGAGAGGCAATGTTTGAAGATGAGGCATTGGAACCACCATCATGAGAAACAAGATACAAAAATAAATAGTGCTCAAACAATTTAGCAATGAGAGATTTCAATTTCTTTAACATATCCTCTGACAATTTTTCACCATACATCCGAGTAAAACAAAATTCAATATAGTCAAGCTTATAACGAGGATCAAGATAAATAGCAACAAAGAGAAGATAATTTATTGTATTGCTTTCCTAATACTTGTTGTACTTCAATTGCATATTTGCTATCATGGTTTTCAAAATTGGATCACTAACATTGTGCCTCCATTTATTCAACGTTTTTTTAATATCCATCAACTGTTTGAAAAAAGAGTTAGCAGTAACATGCAATGACCCAGAAAAAGAAAGTGTGGCATCATAAAAAGTTTTCAAAAACTTCACAAAAATACGAGCTCGTTCCCAATCAGCTCGATTAGGACATCCTTTCGACTCAATACGGAGATTAGTTAAAAATGCAACATCAGCATGTTCTAAGCGGTAAAATGCATGTTCATACTTTTCAGCGATGTTCAACATTAAATAAGTAGAGTTCCATCTGGTTTCTACATCTAGTGTTACCAATGCTTTAGAACATACACCAACAGCTTCTGCACACTTCTTGAAAGTAGCCAACCTATTAGGAGAAGCCTTGACAAACTTACATGCAGCCCTAATTCTTTTAACAGATTCATCAATATCCTTTATTCCTTCTTTGACAATCAAGTTTAATATGTGAGCACTACATCTCATATGCAAGTACTCCCCATTAAACAAAGTACGACCATTCCAAAAACTCATGCCTCGATTTAAATAATCAATTGCCAAATTGTTAGCACTTGCATTATCAACAGTCACACAACATATAAACTTGATACCCCATTCCTTCATGCAATTCTCTAATGTTATCCCTATAGTTTCACCTTTATGGTCAGCAATTATACCAAAGCTTAATATACTCTTCTTTAAATTCCACTCGTCATCAATATAGTGAGCTGTAACACACATATAATTCATATTCTGAATCGATGTCCAAGTATCAGTGGTAAGAGACACCATTTGTTTATTAGCAGACAACATAAATTTCAATTTTTCTTTCTCATCGAAGTACAAGCATAAACAATCTCTGGCAACAGTGACATGAGATGGAATTTTGAATCTTGGTTGAGCCTCTTTCATGAACATATTAAATCCTTCATTTTCAACATATTTAAAAGAGAGCTCATCAATGATTATCATCTTTGCAAGTGTTAATCTAGTCCTCTCTTGATTAAAATCAACAAATTTCAAGCTAACACTATTAGGATCATCCTCACTTTCTTTTCCAATAGCTATAGTTTTTTGTTTCTTATCAACTACCCTATTTGGATTTTTCAGGCACACTTTCAAATGTTTATGCATGTTAGTAGTGCCATGACTACCACTATTTGCAGCATATTGTTTCCCACAATACTTACATATAGCCTTATCATTAACCCTTTTAAAATCTTTCCAAACTGTAGAAGGTTTTCTAGAGGGTTTTCTTTTGCTTACCTCTATTAGTGCACTTGGTGGCAATGATGACAACCCTTCTCCTTGTATTTGTTGAACTTCTTGCTCTTCTTCAAGTGGATGAGCAACATCTTCACTGACAATTTGTGATTATTCCACTTCCATTTTCTATAAAAAAAACAATTTTTAATATAAATTATTATTAAAACAACATTAAACAAAATATACTTAAATTAATAATATGAAACAGAACAGGACTTTGCATCAAAATATATTTTCATCATATGAAACAAAATAGTACTTTGCATCATATGAAACAAAATAGTACATTACATTGAACCTATCATCATATTTTGCATTGATATAAAACTATTGAAGTACATACTGTAAAAACAATATATTGCATTGAAATAAATATATTGTAGAACTATAAAAAGTATAAAACCTTATTCAATATGGAGACGAAACTATGAGAGAGTCAAAGTATAGACTGTGGATTTTTGAAAGCAAGATGGAATTGGAATGTGAGAGAGTAAAATGAAAAAAAAAAATCGTGAGAGAAAGAGGAGTGGTGACGTTTGAGATTTGCCGTAGTAAAAAAATAGGGTTAGGTTAAGTGGTATTGTCTTTAGTTTAGTAAGTTTCTAATATATACTTAATTATTATTAGTTAATAAAGATTCATTAAAAAAATAAAAAGGCAGTAAAGTGTAAACTAGAAGTGCATAAGTCAAGCAAGCATGATTAATATTAATAATAATGTTTAATTATAATAATAATAATAATTTAATGTGTGATTGGAAACTGGAAGAAAAGTGCAAAAGATCTTTGTGTACGTTACAATTTACAAAGTTATAGCAACTTTAAAATTTATAAATAATATAATAATAATAATAATAATAATAATAATAATAATTATGCCACGTCAACGGGTTGGGTCAACGGGTTCATGGGTTTAGAAACTAAAACCCAATACCCGAACCAAATCTATACGGGTTGTTACGGGTTGGGTCGGGTATACCCGTAAATGAATGGGTCCGGATAATTAGTGGGTTGGTTCGGTTTGGGTAGACGGGTTTGCGGGTCGACCCGCACCCATGAACACCCCTAGATATATGGTGAGAATTGTAGAGTTAAAAATGTCATTTCTCTGAATTTTAAATAGAACTGTAGATTGATTGGAGTCAAAAAAGTTAATACTTATACAAAACAAAAATCGAACAATTGAGATTTGAATTTGATATTTTAAATTATAAAATAAATTTACTCCATTTATAATTTATTGAACCATTAGATTTTAATTGAACGATTATTGAAATTTTGTATGTGTGAATGTGTGATTAATGTGACTTTAGAAAATTCAATTTTCTAAATTTGTGATGTGTAAACATTCTATTTAGAAAAGCAAAATAAATAAACAATAATGATATTATTTTGATATTTATATTTTGACACTTAACTAACTTGTTTTTATCAAATTTTTAGATGAAAATTTTATGGTCAACGGTACATTGGATAAAAGTTTAGATTGGATTACGGGAATGAAAGATATCAGATTAAAAGATCTTCCAAGTTTTATAAGAGTCACTGATTTAAATGATACTATGTTCGATTTCTTGGGTTCTGAGGCACAAAATTGTTTGAGGTCATCCAGAATCATCATTAACACATTTGAAGATTTGGAAGGTGAAGCTCTCGACAATCTTAGAGCTAAAAATCCAAACATATATAGCATTGGCCCAATTAACATTCTTGGTAGGCATTTTCCTGAGCATGAAAATGGTTTTAAAGCAAGTGGTTCAAGTTTTTGGAAAAATGATCCAGAATGCATAAAATGGTTGAATAAATGGGAACCTTGCTCAGTACTATATATTAATTACGGAAGTATAACTGTTATGACAGATCATCACTTAAAAGAGTTTGCTTGGGGAATAGCAAATTGCAATTTACCATTTTTATGGATAATGAGACCCGATGTAGTAAAAGGTGAAAATACCACCTTGCCAAAAGAATTCTTAGATGAAGTTAAGGATAGAGGATACATAACTAGTTGGTGCTTTCAAGATCAAGTTCTTGCTCATCCATCAGTTGGGGGATTTTTAACTCATTGTGGTTGGAATTCGACACTTGAAGCTATTACTTATGGCGTGCCTACTATTTGTTGGCCTTTCTTTGCCGAACAACAAACAAATTGTAGGTATTTATGCAACATTTGGAAAATAGGGATGGAAATTAATTATGATGTGAAAAGGGAAGAGATAACAAAACTTATCATAGATCTTATGGAAGGGCAAAATGGAAAAGAAATGAGACAAAAGAGCTTAGAGTGGAAGAAGAAAACTACAATTGCTACTGATTTTGGAGGATCATCATATAATAACTTTCATAAGTTAATCAATGAGATTCTTCAACACAATGCTTTTTGAGTGCTCTTATATTGAGTTTAATATGAAAAATATGATGTTCGATTACTTTCAATCAAAACATTTCTTATTTGAGCTTAAGTTATTGTTATTTAACTCGTCTAAATTTAGTATTATTATGTATTCGTGTTGGGAGTTACTGTAATTTTGTATTCATAAATTTACAATTAGATCACAAATATAGAAAGGATGAATCGCATGGTAGTTTTGGAGAAAATAGCTTTGTTATACAAAAGAAGAGTTGAACGAGATGAGATGAGGTCTACCAACCCAAAGAGTGGCCTATTTGGCTTGATAACTCGAGCTATAAAGAAACAAATTTTTTTAGGAAGCTTGGATAATTTCGCCCATCCCTTTTTGACTATGAAACCGTCATCTCTTGGTGAGCCTAGTCTTTTCCCTGATCTAAGAAAAAAAAGAATGCAAAAAGTCAAACTCACATTGACTTGGGAGCACATATCTCAATAGATTTGGAAGACACACACTCCAAAAAGAACACCCTCGTTATTTTCTTCTGCAAGTAAGGTTGCACCCTTTCTCTCGAATGAGTATTTTTTTAAGGTGAGGTGTAACACCATAAATTCCGAATCTTACTTAAAATGATTTACACGTTAATTTAAGGTGTCACCAACGACAACCCTTCGAAAACATAACAAATCATATGAAACTATGCAATGGAAAAACATGTCATAGCAACTTCATAAATAAGGTGATCACTTCCAAAACAAAAACAAAAATCAATATCATCATAAAACATAACTAACTTATGTCCTCAATGTTACACAATCAGAGCCTTAAAAATCCCTAATGTAAGACAAAGTGATAAATAAAAAATGAATAGTAGCTCCAACAAGGCACCTTCCACACACAACAACACTGATCACTCATGAGTATCTGCAAGATGACCATGGTGGACAACATGAAGCAAATGGGTGAAAAATAACATTCAATATGAGCAATGTAAAAAATGTAAAGGTAGAGAAAAATACAACACAATATACATTTAGTACACAAATCAACATCATCAATGTCTGACACTTATTCATAACAACGTACACATTCATTAGATATATACATTACTCACAACAACTCATTAACTAAGTCATATATTCTCAACCAATCAACAACATCGTGAATAATCAATAACATATTCAAACGTGTATGCAATATACTCAACAACTAACTCATTATGCATGTTGTACCATTCAAGAATAACACAGGTCCATCTCGCTCCTGAATCTCTACCATAGAACCATAGCACACCAAAATCATTATTGATTCATCACCATAGAATGAATAATGCTTCAATGATTCCTCTTTAGAAAATACAACTACTCGCTCTTGAATCCACGCCATAGGACCAGAGCAAACCAAATCGTTACTATCACCATAATTAACCTTTAACTAATTCTTCATTGGAATTAGCTACTCATTCCTGAACACATTCCACCGGACCAGAGCACATCGAAATTGGATCGAAGCCGGTACACCATGGCACATGACTCTCAACAACATGTCACTAAAATAGTCACTAAAATAATCACCTTACATTTATCACTATTATGCACAACATCATTCTCAATACACATCAATTAATCAATATTACGACAATTAGAACCAACACCAAACATCAGCACCACATCAAGTGCATCTCCACACGATATTCAATCATATTAAATAATTATAACATAAATTCATCATTAAGAAAATACTACAAGTCACACAATTATACACCTAATTCACGACAGATACACATCATTCAAACATGGAAATTCATCTCACAAGTCATTACCATAATGTTGCTATGTGCGTTAGCTTTCCAACGCTTTGAGTCGTACCTCAATCTGAGTCTCGAAACTCAAGTCATGATCAAAACCAAATTTGAACCAAATAAGTCTAGTTGTGACAGATGGACCATCATGTAATCTGACGGTCTACTGACGATCGTCAGCTCATAGTAGAATGCAGAACCGCTACATAATGCAAAATTCTACGTTTTTTCACCATTGGAGGCATTTCGGTCCTCCGATTTCGATTCTGTAAAACACTCAGAATTCAATACACAATAATTATATCATATTAAACATGTTAATTTCCCACATATTAACATCATGAAACATATAATTAGACACATAATTCATTCATCACTTTCATAAAATTCATGCTCATGCTCAAAGCATCAAAATTCCAACAATTGCATAGAATCACATACTCATAAATAGAACTGTACACACAAGACTTCAGTCATGAAATTCACATAACAACGTAATTAATCATCAATTTTTATATTATCTCACAACAACAACAAATCATAATAGAATCTACACCATCCTTAATTAGAGTAATGACCTCTCTTCTCTACCCTATCATGCAATACACCTATAGTGAAAGCCCTTTCTCCCTCATACGTTATATTTATAGAAAACGAGCTCTTCTCCAATGGTTTTTGTCTCATCTACTAGATATAGGGTTCTTCTATAACTTATTTCTCAAATTCTCTAAGAACTAGATGAAACCTACCTTTCCCCCACCTTTTAGAATATATACCTAGGGTTCTCTACACAAATCCTCTTAATTACCTCATTAGCCCTCAACACTTTTAATTCACACTATCTCCCTAAACTCTCCACCACTTAAAAAAAATTTCCCTTTAAAAATTACTTGAAGGAAACATAGTCGAATACGACTCTCTCATTTGGCCCTCCAGCTCCTAAGTCACGCTTCCACCAGTTGGTCTTCCCCATATTACCTTCACCAATGTAATATCCTTACCATGCAACTGCTTCACTTTCGGATCCTATATGCACACGGGCGATGCCTCAACAATCAGGTTCTCTCTCACATGCTCATCGTCCCCTTGGATCACATGAGATGGATCCGAAATTCATCTCCTCAAATGAAACACATGAAACACATCATGAAGATTAGAAAGCGATAGTGGAAAGGCATGTTGATAGGCCACCTCCCTTATCCTTTGCAAGATCTGATATAGACCAATAAAACATGGCAGGAGTTTTTGAAACTTTAAAGCTCGATCAACACCAGTTACCAGAGTAACTCGCAAGAGCACATGATCTCCCTCTTTGAACTCAAGTGCTTTCCTCCATGTATCATGGTAACTCTTCTGGGACTCTATGAAGCCTTCATCTCCTCTTGGATCATCTTGATCTTTTCAGAAGTTTGTTGAACAATCTTAGGTCCAATCACCACACTCTTGGCTGATTCATACCAAAATAGAGGTGTCCTACATCTTCTACCATACAAAGTCTCAAACGGTGCCATTCCAATGCTTGAATGGAAACTATTATTATAAGTGAACTCAATCAAAGACAACTAGTTATCCCAAGCACTTCCTTGTTCTAACACAAAGTCCTCAACAGATCCTCCAAGGATAAGATAGTCTTATTCGTCTAACCGTCTATCTTTGGATGATAAGAGAAACTCAGCTTCATCTAAATACCCAACACTTCCTACAAACTCTGGAAAAAACCTCGAAGTAAATCGGATCTCTATCTGACACAATGCTTGAAAGAATACCATGCAGGCTAATAATCTTCTCAATATATAGCTCGACCAATTTTTGCAAAGGATAACTGATCTTAATTGGTATGAAATGACTCGATTTGGTCAGTCTTTCAATAATAACCCAAATAGAATCACCTCCTTTCATCGTCTTTGGCAAAATTGTCACAAAATGTATAGAAATTCTATCCAACTTCCACTCAGGAATACTCATCGTTTACATCAGACCCAACTGCTTCTGATGTTCAATCATCAACTTCTGACAAGTCAAACAAGCATAGATAAACTCTATAATTTCCTTCTTCATTCCTGGTCATCAAAACATTTTCTTCAAGTCTCGTTAAATCTTAGTGGCACTAGGATGAATGCTCACATTCGTCCTATAACCTTCCTCAAGAATACTTTTCTTAAGCTGTGGCATATCTGGTACACAAATCTTATCTCTGAACCTTATCATACCATTCTTGTCGATTTTGAAATCACATCATTTACCCTGATTGATTAACACAAGCCGGTTAACCAATCCCAAATCAAATGTCTCACCTTATTTGATCTCTTCAAGGATACCACTGGTCAACTTCAAAATTCCTAGCTTCACACTCTTATGAGTTTCTTCATATAATAAACTCATGTCTTAGAACTGCTCAATCAATTCTAACTCTCGAACCATCATCATCGATATATGCAATGACTTCCTACTTAACATATTAGGTATAATGTTGGCTTTACCTGGATGGTAACTCAATCAAAATCATAATCTTTCACGAACTCAAGCCATCTCCTCTGCCTCATATTCAACACTTTCTGATTGAAAAGATACTTCAAACTCTTGTGATCACTGAACACTTCAAATCTAGAGCTAAACAGATAATACCTCCAAATCTTCAACACGAACACCAAGACTTCAAACTCTAGATCATGCATAGGATAATTTCTTTCATGAACCCTCAACTATCTAGAAGCGTAAGCCATAACCTGACCATTCTACATTAATACACCACCTAGACCCATCTTGGAAAAATAAAAATACACAACAAAGGACTCACTTGGATTCGAAAAAATCAACACTAGAGAAGACATCAACTTCCTCTTGAGATCTTGAAAACCCTCTTCGCAATGCACATCCCAAACATAGGCTTGAACCTTTCAATTCAACTAAGCTAAAGGAAATTCTAACTTTGAAAACCATTTGATAAACCTCTAATAATAACCAGCCAAATCAAAAAAAAATTTGATCTGTAACAGACTTCAGAGTCTCCCACTGCAACACATAATCTATCTTCAATGGATCAATAATAATACCACCACTAGAAATTACATGCCCAAGGAAGCTAACCTCTCGCAACATGAAATCACACTTGGATAACTTCGCATACAACTCCTTCTCTTTCAAAATCCGCAACAAAGCCTTTAGATGCTCCACATGCTCTTAATCTGACTTCGAATATATCAAATTATCTTTGATGAACACAGCCACAAGC